CAGGTTCCGGTTCCTGTATCGCTGTATCGTTGTATCGCTGTATCGCTTTTTAGTAGTAGCCCCGAACATGAGACGTGTGTAAATACTTTACGATTATAGAAACGTGATGATGTATTCAAGCAGTTAGATGAAGGATGATATGATGCATAAAAACATGCATAGGATTAAAAATTTACACGTTCTCACCGTGTTCATGGAAAACACTAACGAAGGGATCTGAGAACAGTGGCGGAAATTCACTTTTTTCCGGTGGGGGTCGAAGCCTTCTAAATTTCCGACAAAACTTTTTTAAATTTCCGACAACCCCCCCCCCCCATTTGCACTCGAAAAGGCTGTTTTTAGCCCTCTTATAGGTCAAAATTTCCGAAAATTTGTCATTTTCCACGAAGGTGTGGGAGGGGGGCGGCCGCCCCCACGAGATTTCCGCCACTGTCTGAGAACGTGGTTCTGAAGAATAGTCGAGTGCCGAATGAAGGAAAGCGAAACTGGGGAAACAAAGATTCATTGTTTAGGCTGGAATAGTGCACCAGAACACATTAGATTGGAATAGTGCACCAGAACACATTAGAAATACTGAGTCACTAATATTAAGTTTTAAAAACATTTTTATAGGATCGGATCGGATTTTAAACATTAGGCAATTGTCGGATTAACGTCCAATCCGATCCGATGCACACCTCTAGTCTGCATAACTGATAATTTTATATATTTTTTATTTAGTTATTTAATTTTTTCAATTTTCATTGATATTTAAATAGCATATATTATAATATTTCTATTCCCTACTGAAAATCGCCTTGGCGATTTAGGCCCCTGTGTAAATATTATGATCGGAAAGTAATGTCTGCGAACCCGAGCGGGAATTCGATTTCCAAGCAATTGGCCAATCCGTTTTTGGCTCTTGAAGACAGAGAACTAGCTTGCTCCTTCGTTCGTGTGATCTTACACGCGTTCGCACATTAACGCATGGTCTCGCTGTAACATTTTAATTGGCTAACATAAGACAATAGACATACGTCTCGGAAATCGAATTCCTACTCGGGTTCGCAGACGTTCGGTTTCTGGCCCACCCCCACCTTGTACGCGGGGGCGGGCCAACCATAACCCTGGGGAGTCTTATGGTGCTCTTCCGCTGGAGAATATGACAAAATATTCTATTTTAAGGTTTCTGTCAAGAGGAAGAGGGCTATGCCGATCCCACCAATAACTTAAAGACCTCTGAAACCAATCATCGAAACCATGCTCAGCAAAATTTGTTTCCCAACCGGAAAAAATACAAAATTATGATGAGGTGCATCTTGTTTTGAATCATATATTGTGTTCTCAAGATATCTTGTCTTTTCGGAATTTGTTTTTTACAAACACACATTAACACACTGATATATTTGAACACACATTAAAATGAAACGTGAATGAAATATTGAAAGTGCGCTGTCAGCGCATTCGATTGGCGTCATTAAAGGTTGATTCAAGTTGGGAAAGGTAGTGAGAATACAGATTGTGTTTGAAAGAGGAAATGAAATAGAGGTTGCTTGTGATGTTACTCTGAGTGTATATCCACACCAGGCAGGCTTGAAAAATATGCCTGGCCACGGTGGGAATCGAACCTACGGATAACCTTTGGTATACTAGCCCCTGATGCTCTGCCGGCCAACTGAGCTACGCGGTCAGGTCGGTTCGAGTATGTGATATTTCGGAACTGAGTCTAGTTCAGCTTCGATATCAGTGTAATCTATTAATAATCATGACCGCGGCCCAGGCATATTTTTCAAGCCTGCCCGGTGTGGATATACACTCAGAGTAACATCACAAGCATCTTATTCACCTGAGTACATTACACCAAGACAGCAAATATCGAAATAGAGGTTCTCGCACATTCGGTGCGGAATTTTGCTAATTTGGCGAAGGGTATACCATTTATTTTGGGAACTGATTTATTGATTTCAACGGGATGAGCCTGTCATCAAAGTAAGATTAATCGGATTAATTTATGGGGGAAGTGATTTCGCTCTCTTGTACGTTGGTTTCCGGTACTGACGTCAGTTATGCTAGTAAGTGCTGCATAAAATTATAAAATATTCTGATCGAAATAGCTCAATAATTCACCAGCAAAACACAAAAAAATCAACGAGCCTTAAATTATGTCCACGTTCGTGTTGAATTTGTCAAATGAAATTATGTGTTTTCACTTTTCATGGTCCAAGATCGAAAATTTCACAATCAATGACGTCACAACGCCCGCTTCCGAAGATACGTCTCCAGTGACGTCATGCACGTGCTCTGATTGGCTGATTCAAAATGTATTCGAGCGATAAACAAAATAAATATTGCGTGTATTTTATATATTTGATTGTTTTGTTCAATGCTGTTCACTTTATTATGCTGGGAAAATTGGTGCAAAACTTCACTGTTGATTAATTTAGACGATTTCTTAAATGTTATAATCGGACAAAATCTAGGGCTACATAGAGTTTTAAGAAAGGTCGATAAAATACTTACTGCGTTTGACAAATATGGCGTATTTTATACATGTTTATGTATAAAATGGATGTACAAAGGTGACTAGAACTTCTATAGAATCATCAAGTCATTTGGGATTTCGTGGTTATTGATGCATTAAATTTGGTACAAAGAATTTGGATGAAATCTAACGAATTCAATATGGTTTAATCTTGTGTTATTTGCGAACAGATTTGAAGTTTTCAGCAGAACTTTACATATTTTGGACATATATAAAATATTACAGTATAAAAGACATGGATTGCACATGTATAAATCGGAATAATAATATGGCTTCATTCGGTAGAAAGGACAAACGTAGAGCTTCTAAAAACTCTGTATTTCATTGGATTCAAAAACGAAAGCTATCTGACATGGTTTATCCCAATAAGATGTTAAAATCGTATGTGACAAGAAAGCTACCTCCGATTTTTCAAGCCAAAGAGTTCGATATGGGTACAATTGATAAAATATTTGCCTCACATTGGCTTGATGACAGAAACGTTGTTTATGGAACTAAATGCAACAAAGTATGTTTTCCTGTCAATTTCAATTTTTGATGCTGTTTCAATCCCCAACTCGTGGGGAAGAGTACCTAAATGTGACCATGGTAAATCTGTCTTGTACATTAATGGTATACCCATTAAATGGGTTAGCCAGTAATACCCAACACTTTCCTCTGACAAGTAAAATTGTTGAGCATTAAAGGTCATTAAAGGTTCCGATAGAAAAGCAATACTTTTGCTACAGTGGTCGAATAACACATTGATGTGGTTATTACTGGTGGACTGTTTTGGTTACACAGAAGATCCACACGACACAAACATGCGGCATTGGCCTACAAAAAACCTATTTTTCACACATGCCAACACGATTTTGTGCAAAAAGAGAGAATTCAGAAATATTTTGTGCCGAAGATTTTTTGGTAAAATCAACAAACTTTCCACTGGCAGTGGTTGTAGTTATTACCTGTATTACCTACATTACTTGTAGTAATACTGGATTTTCATTGTCTGGTCAAGAAATATGTCAATCACCAACTCTAACAACGCCCATATGAAACAAAATTCAACAAATTCTTATAGTTTTGTGTATTAAATTGAATGCAAAGTTTTATAACTCACCCATTTAATTTCAACTGCCATTATTTTTTAAGCTTTGTATTCTTGATACATTGACTGGAACATCGTGTAAAATGTCCATGATCAAAGGGCCGATACCAATGGAACCGGAGAACAACTGTGGTATTCATAGTCTTGAAATTAACCCATCTGGAACGCTGCTTGCTACTGGTGGAGAAAACCCTAATGATCTTGGTATCTATAAATTACCAGAGTTTCACCCTGTGTGTCTGGGAGTGGTAAGTAGTGGAACAGAATATGGTGAATTTAAAATAGATATATCACCAGCAGTAGAATGATCTCAAGCCAAACTCTCTACATGAGATTAAGGCTCTATCAAACCAAGAATATATCCCAAGATTTTTGGCATCTTGTTTTAAGAGCAAGAAGAGTTTACATTTATTTTGTATCATACATTTTTGTAGAAGCACACCGACTGGATTTTTAGTATTGTGTGGTTAAATGACTATCTAGTCGCTACAGGTAAAGTATTTATGTACTAAGAGAATTTAATTGACAAGCAAACTTTTTAACTCCTCATCTTCCAACACTTTACCATAGACCAACACCACATGTTTACAAGCTTAACCCATTGTTTACCATTTATCGAGTTTCTCGCTCATTGGTGAGCAGATTTCCAAACAGACCGATTGCCCATTTGACAGGGGATCTGAGAAAGTCATAGAAAGTGCTGATTCGTGTACCCCCCAGATCAGTGATAGCATATTCTTCACTACAGGCTCTCGAGATGGATGTCTTGGTGTGTGGGATACAAGATATGAACCAAACTTAGATAAATCATCAGATTCTGTGTTAATCAAAGAACCAGTCAGGTGGCTAACAAGTACACACACAGATGAGCGCTTCAGAGCAATACAATACAACCCTGTTTCAAATGTATGTATGCCATGTTATTGCTATAATACTGAACTAGCATATGTAGTAAACATCTATTATTTCTTGACTGAAATGGACCTGATATTGACCATTATTTGTTTTACAGGAATTGGCTAGTTTGTCCACAAAAGCAGTTCTGCAGATATGGGATGCAAATAGATTTAAAACCGTAAGTAAAATAAGCAGGAAATATCACTTTGTGCCCATTCTCCAGAAAATATTGAGAAAAAATGAGATGGTTAGGCTATAGTGTTAACCAGCATTCAGTGCCAACAATTTTATGGGTGCTGCTCTGTTTAGAACAGCAGTTGCATCAATCCTATAACTCCATATTGTTTTTCTTTTACAAGATTTCATCAGTTGACTTGCCGTACCAACAAGAGAATATTTGTCTTTCGCTGGAACCTGGTCACACTCTGTATGCTGTTGGTTCCCAGTCACATGTCACCATGTTGGATGGTCGATGTCCATCAAACTTTCTTTATTCTGTAGAATCCATCGATAAGGATGCAGGTGCTGACATCATTGCAAAACATCTTGGTTATCATAGCATTACCAGGCAGCACATTCATTATACATGCATAGGCCTCTAATTTATGCTTTTGAAACAGACAGAACCATTGTAGGATTGATTGGATAGCAGTATAATTATCTTGTCTTTGTGAAAAACACCCACATTAGCTCTTGACTGGTCATGAAAATGTGGCCAGTCAAAATCGGTGGGGTAAAAAAGTGACATGTCAAGAAGGCATCTTTGGCCGGTCATTGTCCGTCCGTTATTGAACCCTGAAATTATACAGGAATTACATTGTATACATGCAAACATAAGAATGATAGGATGCTACTTCAGTCTGTAATATTTCAAGTGTCAATTCTTGGCAAAACCTATTGTGATTGGGAAATTTATTCATTTTATCGTCTTTTAAATTTTCATTTCAGGCATCCGTTCACTTTCGTTCCATAATGATGTAGTGACAATTGGTACAGGTTATGGTTCTTGCTCATTCTTGGATTTGAGAACATATAAATTTATTCAAAAGCCCGATGGGAATGTTTGTCAATTGAAAGCTGGGGAAGGATGGTTGGTAAGTGTAAAACATTTTTACCATTACTCCTATGTGCACTTTACAGAATCTTAGTTCTTACCTAAATTGCAAACCAAAAAAAAAAAATCCAGAAGGCATTAACATTTCAACTTTTCCTTCTATTTCAGCGTCGTGATGAGATATTCTATACGTTGTTTGGTGAAATGTGTTTTCCAACAGCCATATACACACACTGTTATGATCCAACTGGAAGTAAACTATTCACAGGCGGTGGTCCATTGGCTGTGGGACTGTATGGAAACTACGCTGCTTTGTGGCAATGAAAAATTGAAATTTGAAGTGACAGTTGCATTTAAGATAAATGTGAAATAAGGACTGGTACTTTCCAGTACCAGACTTTCAGTTGTGAAATGGAATTCAAAAAACAGTTGTCTTAGTTCTAGAGTACATTACAATATAAGACTTACATGAAGCAAGTCTATTTAAAATTTGAGTGTAAATAAACTAAATATTTTGCTTAGGATGTATTTGTATCATATGATAGAATAAAATCTTACCTTTGTTTATTTATTCTGTATTGATGTTTTGCTTTGTTTTAGCATTCTGTAGTTGTTGGTGTGTTGCTAGCTTGTACTGTCATGAAACCAAAAACACCTTGCCGACACCAATTGCTAGCATATTTATGAAAGCATGCACTTGAAAAGACCTCGGGAATAATGCTTTCCACATGACACCATTTGACCATTTTCCCATCCTGCGACTGTTTTTATGTTCAGAACTGGATTTCTGGACGATAATTATCAAAATTGAAACAAAACCCAAACTATTGAGAAGACTTTATTACAATACTCAATTCAAACATGGAACATTTTATCTCTGTCCAAAGCCGCCGCCACCACCTGGGCGGAAACTTTGTGTGGCTGTGATCGGCTGCGTCACTTGAAGATTTGCAATGTTGCCAAAGTCCTGTTGAACAAAAGATTAATTAAATATATGGAAATGTAATTTTGAAGAAAAAAATTCATGTAACACAGACATTTCTAACCTATTCTGCACTGATGATTTTTCTTGTACAAGATTAGAACTTACCAAAACTTTCAACATTTCCTTGGTTTCAGGATCAACTTCAATTATATCTTGCTCAATTGCAGATACCTTAATAAGAAAATATTTTTATATTTCTTGGCTTGTAGATCTAAAACTTATTCCTTTTATTGCACACTATTATAAAATGACGTCCAGTCCTGTTTTATATGTCATGTCTTTACACTAGACAATATTAACGCCTTAGAGTCTTTAAACGTCTATATAGTATAAAAACAGCCATTATTCATAATTCGCAATTTAGGTCTGCAGTCTGAAACAGGAGTAAAATTTCTTTCAAGTTTGCTGCTTTTACATGTTGTTTCAAAGGACCCGATTGTGAATTATGAATAAGGTCGATAGCATTTTTATTCAGTGATTACTTAGTATGTTGAAATGTAAAATTTTCAAAGTGGTGATAAAAAATAGAATGAACTAACCTCAGGAACATAGTTATCCCTTCGTTCCCTTTCCTCTTCTTGAAGTTTGATAGAAATACCTCGGACTGGACCACCCTGGATTCTCTTCATCAAATGTGTTACAAACCTTAGGTGTAAACAATAATACTTCAATGACCATTCACACAGTATTCAAAAAGTAGGGTGCATATGGGCACAGTGGGTTAATCCTTAAGGTGGCAAATATGTACTCTGATGCACCACTTACAATTTTACTCTTTTTAGTACCAGTCGTTCTAATACCAGTCAATTTTACTCTTTCTAATACCACTCAAGGGGATACTTTTGCTTGTCATTGAAAAACTAATTTATGCATGTTTTTTTTCCTCCAAATTGCACTTAAGTCATAAAATTATTACCATTTGCATTCAACCTTGAAGTTTGTTAACAAACACCATGGTCGTTAAACAAACACCAAGCAAATGATGCAATACTACGGCATTATCACAGAACATTTAAAAAGAGCGTATCCTATACTGATCGGCCAGATTTTCATTTGATTAGCAGAAAATCATGACTGCTGATCACCATGATCGGGAACGTTGGAAATGTTATTTAGAGCCATGTGAGTGTAATATTCGAAAGCATGGAAAATTGCTCAAAACCTAGTGTGCATGTGGACAAAATGTTCTGTTTTTTCCCCACAAACATGACAACATCACTTGATTACCGACACAAATTTATATTGAGAAAAGCCTACCACTTACCCAGCAATCTGGTTTCTCAATCTCTTGCTAGGAATTATTGCAATTTCCTCACATACTCGCTTGTTTGAGTGGAAATCCAACGTAAGACGAGTATAATACTTCTCAATAATAACACGAGCGGCCTTCTTCACCGTCTTTGTCCTGACACGACCCTGCAAAGATGGCAGAATTTCTCTGTAAACAGCTCAGTAGGCCAAGCAGATTATATCATATTGATAGCTTTATGATACCAGATCATTGCAATGATGGCCTAATTGTACTACAGATAGATCAAGCAGTGGGAGACACTATGCACCATCTGGCAAGATATACTATGTACAAAACAGGTAAATTTCACAGATATGATAAATAAGGTCTGGTTTATAATTGTGACAAACTAATATAGTCTAATGGTAGAGAGAATAAAATAATAAAGTAGACACATTAAGTCACATAAAAAAAATAGTTGGTTAGCATCCTCGCTGGCCCACAAAAAAGGATTTTTTTTATTTTTTATTTAAAAAAAACAACTTTTATTGATCAACAGTCTCTAACCAACTATTTTTTTTATGTGGCCTTATGGCACAATGCAACTTAATGGGTTACAATTGGTTTGCTCAGGTTTGTCACATATAAATCAGAATTCACTCTGTAATATATATATATATATAATCACACATATAAATCAGAACACACACGGCTGACCAGGGTGCATTTTAAGAGGCCTACGCCGAAGATCTTTGGGGTGAATTTGGCAAATTACAATACTATCTATAGTTACAGTCAATTTCAGCTGACTTTTCATCGTAAGATTCCGAACTTCGTTCCGAACTTCGCAAATTCGTTGCCAAGTTCAAAAGTTCATAATGAAA